AGATAATAGATAAGAAATCAAAAGCAATGCTTCTGAAATCCAAAAGAAATGGAGATATGTATCCTTTAAACTTGAAACCTATCACATGGAAGCCAACCATTTTCCTTCTTACGAAATCATCTATGGATGATAGTTGGTTATGGCACCGAAGGCTCTCCCATCTGAATTTCAAGGATATCAACAAACTTGTACTTGACGATCTTGTACGAGGATTACCTATATTGAAATTTGAGAAGGAACATCTATGTGTTGCTTGTGAGCTAGGAAAGCAAAGTAGAAAGAGTCACTCGACAATCATCAATACCAAAATAATCAAGCCACTGGAACTTTTACACATCAATCTTTGTGGCCCATCTGCCATCGAAAGTATTGGTGGAAATAAGTATATTATGGTTACTGTTGATGACTTTTCAAGATTTACATGGGTTTTCTTTCTTAGAAAAAAATTAGATGCCACTTCAAAGCTGAAGGATTTCATCAAGCAACTTGAGCTTCAATTGCGAAAGCCTATTCGAAAAGTTTGCAGTGATAACGGTTTTGAATTCAAGAACCAAGTGTTTGAAGAATTCTAGACTGAAAAAGGGGTTTCTCATAAATTCTATGCTCCTTACACTCCATAGTAGAAAGATGTTGTTTAAAGACGAAACCGCTCTCTTTGCGAAGCTGTAAGGATAATGCCATCCTTTGCGAATCTTCCACTTTATTTCTGGGCTGATGCTATCGGAACTGCATGTTTCACTTAGAATTTCTCTCTGATCAATAAAAGATTCTTAATCACACCTTAGGAGATTCTAAATAAACGAAATCCTAACATTAAGTTCTTTCATGTCTTTGGTTCCAGGTGTTTTATATTTAATTCCAAAGAGCATAGGAATAAATTTGATGTGAAAGCAGATGAAGGAATCTTTTTAGGATGCTATCTTACATCAAAGGCATTTAGGTTTCTGAACAAGAAATCCAAAAAGATCGAGGAAACCTATTATGTCACCTTTAAAGATAATTATCATAAAAAGTATCAAAATGTTGGTTATCAATCTAACGGAATCTTTCCGTCAACTCTGGCTCAGACGATTCTTATGATGAACTTATATGAGGAATTCATAAATTTGTTTGATGATCCTGGAAAAGCAATTCCTTCATAATCAAATGTAAAAGTTAATAAGGAGGATGAACTGCAGAAAATCATTGATGATGCTGCCAAAAATCTTAGAAAAAAGCCAACAATTTCCGAAGGCTTCTGAAATTCCACCTCAGCCACAAGCTACTAATGCTCCAGTTCATGGGAGGGTTCTGCTTCAACCTCCACAACCGATACACCTGTTCAGGGGGAGAATTTAGATCCATAAATCAACACCGATATTTCATTCCATGGGGAGGATCCAACTTCGAACATAGAGTCCCATGAAAACTTCCAGGGGAGAACCCGATTCCGAATGTAGAGTCACATGCAAACTTCCAGAGGGAGAATGAGAATGAAAATAATGACTCTGATGTACAATCAAAATTTGAAGATGTGAATGCAGAACTGGATCTAACATATGATCTGAACTACCCTCCATTGGAAAAATGGACCAAAGATCACCCTAAATCTCAAGTGATCGGAGCAGCGTCTTGAAGAGTTCTCATAAGGGCACAACAAAAAGCGAATCAAATGACATTATTTTCAAAAATGGAAATTTTCATGTTCCGTTCATTCATCTCTAAAAATGAGCCTAAAACTATGAAGATTTCTCTTGATCATTCTGATTGGGGGCAGGCTATGCAGGAAGAACTCAATGAATTTGAGCGTAATAAAGTTTAGCGATTGATTCCAACTCCAAAGGATGCATTTGTGGTAGGATTACAATGGGTATTTCAGAATAAGCTTGACAAGGAAGGCAACGTGATTCTAAACAAGGCTCGATTAGTTGTTAAAGGGTACTGCCAAGAGGAAGGCATATACTATGAAGAAACATTTGCACCGGTTGCAAGGCTGGAATCTGTTCGGATTTTCCTTGCTTATACAACACACAAGAATTTAGAAGTCTATCAAATGGACGTAAAATGTACATTTTTGAATGGTGAATTAGAGGAAACAATCTATATGGAACATCCACCAGGTTTCCTGAATGAGAAATATCCAAATCATTGCTACATTTTGGATAAGGCTGTGTATGGTCTAATACAAGCACCTCGTGCATGGTATGAAACCCTAACTCGATTTCTGAAACAATCCAAATTTAAACAAGGTTTGGCGAACCAAAATTCTTTCATAAGAAAGATGGTGACCATCAAATGATCATCCAAATTTATGTTGATGGTATCATTTTTGGATCCACTAATCCTAGATTAATAGCTGGATTCCAAAAACTGATGGAAACTAAATTTGAGATGAGCTTAGTGGGTCCTATTAACTTTTTCCTTGGTTTAAATATTAGACAAAGTTCAGAGGGCATTTTATCTAACCAAGAAACTTATACGAAGACCTTGCTTGTGAAATTTCGCATGGTGGGTGATTTTAAGGTTAAGGTTCCAATGGCATTCGGAACAAAGCCTACTCCATCCTTAGACAAGCCAGCAGCAGATCTCACACTATATTGACAGATGATTGGGTCTTTAATATATCTAACATCAAGTCATCCAGACATTATGTTTTCTATTTGTTATTGTGCCAGGTTTCAGGCGCATCCTCATGAACCACATATGATTGTTGTGAAAAACATCTTCTGATACCTCAAAAGAACAACCTCTCTCATAATTTGGTACACTTCCAACTCAAGATTCTTTGTGCAAGCATACTCCGATGTTGATCTTGGTGGATGTGGTTTCGATCGTAAAATCACTTATGAGGGATGTCAGTTTCTAGATGGCAAACTTGTCAGTTGGCAATCAAAGAATCAGACATGTGTATCCCTATCTACTACATAAGTTGAATACATTGCAGTTGCATTGTGTACTTCCCAAGTTGTCTGGATTCATAATCAACTCAGTGATTATGGGATAAATATGAAGAGAATCCCTCTGTATTGTGATTCAGAAAGTGCGACAAGTATATGTCATAATCCAGTGCAACACTCAAAGACCAAACACGTTACACTGCTATATCATTTTATAAAGGATCATGTAGAGGATGGAAACATTGAAGTACACTTTCTTAGATCCTTTGATTAACTGGCAGATATCTTTATGAAAGCCTTACTTGAACCAACATTCAGTCGAATTCTACAAGGCTTAGGAATGATCGAAGCGGACTCAGTTCTGAAAACCCTCTCGTAATTGGAATTTATTGTTCACGATTTGAATGGTTCCAAGCATCATAATGATTTGGAATTCAATTCCAAAATCCGATTGATTCCGAGCTTCGAAATTCTTCGGAATATATTGTTTCATTAAAAGGGTTCGGAATGAGTTGTATCCGTTGTATACTAAGTTTCCTCCAATTTATTCCGAGCTTCAGAATGCTTCAGAAGATAATGTTCACTTGTGTTTCTATTTTATTTATTTCTATTTTTACTCTTTTTCAGAAAATCACAAAAATATTTTTTTTTATTTCATTTATGTTTTTATTTATTTATTTTTTTAGAAAAACCCAAAATTACAAAAATATTTTCTTTTTCTTTGTTATGTTTTATTTTTAGAAAATCAAAAATACCAAAAATACTTTTCATTTGAGGGATAACATTACTTTCAAGAAAATATTCATCATGACTATAAAGTTCTGAATCTATGCACTAGTTAAGTGTCCCTAGAAGCATGTTGTCCCAAGCCTCTAATACTTTATGTTTGAAACCTTTATGAAACTTTCATTCTGATCGTTTCTTCCCAATCAAGCTAATAAATCACATAAGTCATTGAAACTCTTCTTAAAATGAGTTAATAGTTGATTGTTTTGGCATTCGTTTATAGAAGAGGTACACTTCTTTGTAGCCAATCTCAAATTTCTCCATCACCTTCACATTCATAATCGTATCCGTTGAGACTCTCAACACTTACCACTGAGGTTTATGGTTACAAAACACCTATGTTGATGATCTTGAAATCGTTATTACCATAATTTTGAGTGAGACCCAAAATCCAAAACCAACTTCTGAATTGACGGTGAACAATAAAATGTTGAAGATATTTTCACCAATAAATTGATGACTAAAAACCTTTATGGTTTGTACCTTTTACTCGCTTGGAATCTCAAATTTTATTTTTGAGTGATCTTAATGAAATGTTCTCGACCCAAGACATTTTTTTCAAATAGATCCAGTTTTTATTTTTCTTGAGATTTCCATAATATCCAGTCACTTATATTGTATTCCAACCATACTTGTTCTCATGGCTAAATTGATCAAACAAGTACTTCTCTCTGATTTTCAGACTTATTTTAGGTTTCGGAATCTGGTTGAAGCTTAAGCCACCAATGAAGATTACTTAAAAGAAGTCTTTCACTATTTCTTCACAAATAGCTTATCGTAAATCAACGGGATTCCACACAAGCACTTCTGAATCTCTCTTGATTCAGACGGAAGAGATCGCTGCCTAGGATCCAACTGATTTCATGTCAATTTTAGTTTGACATCATAGAATCCCACAAATTTAATTTGTTTTACTTCTGTATCTTTGGTATACTCTTGCACAAAAATCTTTATGATTTTTCAAAAGTCTGGTTTTAAATACCAAATGGTTACTTTCATTCAGAAAACATGTGATGGTGACTTGGCTGATAATTATGAAAGGATGCATGCTGGAATGGCTATTACTTCGAGATAAGGATCACATTAGGCGGGTCTTTTCAAATTCTTGACATCACGCGTATCGATTACCATGTCATCTGACACATAGTGTTGTCACGCCTTCCAACGCTGATTTATTGGGATATGGAAACATCTATGCGTGATTTTCTCTCACCTGTCATGACGTATAAAAGAGTTTTCGACGGTTTATTTTCTCTCACCGCACACACTGAATTTAAAAACTCTCATAACAAAAAAACCTTTTCTCTCCTACTGTTCATCATCGTTCTCACTGTAACAATGGCCGGTTCATCTGACACTACATCGTTTGCTGATAATTCTGCCTCCGTTATGATGTTGAATTTAAATCCACGTCAAAATATTACCCTTGATCTCGAATCGTCTCGATACACTAAATCCCTAAGGCTAATGATTGAGTGTCTGCCTTTCTCGCCACTAGCTTCAACCTTGACCATGGCGGAATTTGTTCCCTTGGTTCATATTTCCAAGGCGTATTCGTTTGCAAACTATAGTCAGGCTGATGGAGTTATCACATTCGAGGTTGCTTCACACAAGACTTCGATTTCAAAAGCTCGTTTCTACAGATGCTTAGGGTTTACTGCTACAGAAGGGCTTGTTCATCCAGAATCAATTTCTTCATCTACACTCATCGAGATGTTCTACCAAATGGGATATATTAGGGATATCTCTCTTTTTTCAAAGTTCAGCAGGACCTATCCACCTTCTACATAGAATGGGTTGTTCACTCTCTTGTTCAAAAGCTTATCTGAGAGGGTTGTTGGGTCTGCTATTGCTAGTAAGTTATTTTGTGCTTTGATCTATGCTCTTCACACGAGAATCAACTTGGATTATAGTGCTATTCTCTGGGCACAGCTTATTCAAAGCACTGTTTCTACTTCACGTCATTCTGAGATCTCATGTGCTTGGTTTTGGTCTGTTATCGTCAAAAGAGCCCTAAATCACTTCCAGGTTCCAATGAATGATGACTCAGTTATGGCTGCTATTCCGTTAACTTCTTCTTTTATGGTTTCTGATTCAAGCGCATTCAACTTCGTCGGATCTATTCTAGAAGCGATGTTGTTGAATGTTCTATTTGACAATGTAATAGTGAATGACTATCGCATACATCCATCCTCTGAAGTTCGAACCATGATAGAGGAACTTAGGAAAGCTATTAAAAAAGGAACCAAGGCCAAACGGGGAGGTAAGAGAAAACCGAAGGCTTCTCCTTCGGGAGTAGTGCCAAAACCAAAGAAGATCAAGACGCAAGCTTGTAAACCGAGATCACCTTCTCCGATTGCTCAGGAAGCTTCGGAATCAAGGACTTAATCGAATGTTCGAAAGAATGAATCAATTAAACACGAAGTTGAAGATACAATAGCAAATTCAGAATCATTGGTCTCGAAACCAACTCTTACCGTACCTATTCCAAAGGTATAATCTCTGATTTCAACTTTTTTTCCTTTACAAGATGAATTCTCTCAGGTGCCTACTCTACCATCTTCACTTGTTACTACACCAATTCTAATCACCATTGCTCCTATACCACCAAAGATCACTTTGGGTGTTTCTCTTCCACATATATCTATTTCCCTATCTACTACACTCTTTTCGGATTCTACTACAACCACAACAACAACTGCTATGAGTACACCTGAAGTAACTGTCAATGTATCTGATACAGGGGTAGGTGTCACCTTTAATGTTACTATTGGTCCATGAACCTCTATAGCTTCCCCACTTCGTGATAATGATCCAGACATCCTCTATGGTGATGAACAGGATGACTTTCAGGATTTTGTTTTCAGCCCCTTTAGAGTCCATCAAACTAGTGATAATGATGATGCACTGGATATGAAAGGGCAGTTTAAGGCCCTCAATGAAAAATTGGATACTCTTTTGGAGTCCTCCAAATCTTCTTCAAACTATGAGTATATGTTAAAGGCTTATCAAGAAACGGTTGAGAAGCTGAAAAATTCGAATGCAAAAGTCCTTGAAGACTCCACCAAGGCAATCCAGGCATCAGAGAATACCATTACTAAAACGACCGAGAAAGTCGAAAAACTACATGCTAAAGTTACAATGTTCATGGTTGATTTCCGGAATTCTTCTGATCAGAATACTGAAGCAACTAATAAAGTTATTGAAAGTCTTGGCACAACCTTACAAACTAAGAAAGAAGCATTGTCTCGTGTTCGCACTAAACTCAAGGTTGACAACTCTGAAATGAATGCATCCACTGTTTCGAATATTGAAAAGCTTCAACAAGATCTTGTTGCCAAAACCAAAATAATGGATAAATTGGCTATAAAAGTTGAAAAAGTCAAGGTTCTTTCTCTCAAGCTCGATTATGCGAACAAACACTTGGACTATATGGAGACTAAGAAAGCAGCTATCAAAAGCTACGTTTCGAAAATCAGTCAGTATTTGCAACGAATTTGAAAAACTCGTGATTCCATGCTTACTGTTTCTGTTCGCCATCACCTCTCTGAAAAGATCAAGTTGGTCCTTGCAATGTTGAACCAAATTAAAGGTGTTTCGGAAGGTGATGCTCTTCTGAAACAAGAGGGATACAAATCAAAAGAAAAACCTCAACCTCAGGTTAAGAAACCCACTGAAGAACAACAACCGAAAATTGATATGAAGGTTAATGAAGCTCCTGGATCTAAAGGGAAATAAAAGATGATTGAAGATGAAGAAGAAGAAGAAGTTCTTTCTGAAGGTGAAAAGGTTGTAAGGAAGAAAAGAGACTGTGAACTTAACAACTTGTGTATATTTGGAAAGAGCTAGAAGCTAGAGTTGTGAAAGTTACACTTGAAACCCATATGTCACTTTTTCCTCCTTGATCATGAGAAAGAATTCAAAAGGAAGCTATCAAGGATCCAAGCATTCACTGGTTGGAGCCTTCGGTATATTTCAAACTGGATAATACCTCTGACTCTCAGCTTGACTTTCCACTCACTCCGAGAGCCTTCCTATTCTGATGCTTTGAGCATATTGAGAAAGCATCATTTTAAGACTATGATGTTAACAATATGTTGCTCTCTTTTTATATCAAGCATGGAAAAGCCTTAGTTTCAGACATGGAGCCTAAAGAAGATTGTTTTCGTGAAGGTTTATGCTGTTTTTCCAACTAAAGATGACTTCACCCTTGCTGGAAAGCATGGCAGTCGCATTGCAGATGACTTCACCCTTGTTGATCTGCCAAGCATGAATCTGAATGATTGGATTTCCTTGTTTCTGATTTTTTTTCGAAAGATGAATAGAAGCATTAACCAATTGTTTCTCATCTGAGGGGAATGTTGGTTTGCTACATTCATGAAGTTGCAAAAATGGATGCGAAAATAGCAGCAATTTTAAAGAAAAGGCCGATTGTGAAACCTGAAGAAGAAATTAAGGACTTCCAAAAGATGAAGTTGGGAAAGAGTAAGAAAGCAAATTGGAGTGTGGTGTATCAAAGAAAGGATGGTGAAAAAGTTCAGAAGAGTTTTTTTGTTAGACAAACATTTATACTCTACTATTGCATTGAACAACATCATTGGCTTGGCTGAAGCTTGCAAAGCAAACACTGATGCAGATCTTACATGCTTCAATGATATGATCAAGTAGTATCTTTTGATCAGATACACCCTTCTGAATTTGATGAAAAAGCTATTCAAGGTTTAGAAGAAACAACAATGAAGAATCTCATTTCTTTATTTGACACAACGGGGGAGATTATTGGGCCTATTGTGTTATGTCAAATGTGTATTGTATAGGTTTATTATTATCGAGATGGGCCTATCCATTCTCATGTTTTGTACTTATCCGTATAGCCTATATATTTCATGCATGTAACTATTAAGGTTAACGATTGTATTGCCCTACCTAGCTTTCACAGAGAAGTTCACGTTGAACTCGTCTAAATCTATTCAATATAAGTATTCGACACTATTTGATTTTCATTTTTCTTGTTGATTATTCACTAACGTTTATAAAATCTATCGATCTAAGTTTTTATTATTTCTATAGAAGAGTAGTGCTTTTCAGTTGATAGCCAAGGAGGCTCGTGCAACACTTGATCTGGTGACGGGATCGTTCCTCGTGAACGGCATTTCAGCTTTGGTATTGTTTCATTTGGGGGCTATCCGATCTTTTGTATTGGTTGCGCTTAGCAAGAGGGTTTTTGGAGCTCCAGGGGAGCTTTATTGTCCTTTGGACGTCGAGATTATTGATAATCGATTTGTCCGACTTTCGAGGGTTCATCAAGGTTGTGTTCTTAAGATGTTTGGTGAGCAGTATCCAATTGATTTGGTTCCCATTCCTTTGCATCAGAATAAGGTTATTGTAGGAATGGAATGGTTGAGCTCCAATGGGATGATGATCAATTTTGAGCATCAGTTGGTGCATATCTAGAGCCCAAGTGGGGGACAGTTGCTGGTACAGGGAGAAAGAGCTCAATGTGGGCCAATTCTATGTTCAGCGACTAGGTTCAGATGATATCTTCATCAAGGTTATTTAAGATTTGTTGTCTATATTATGGATACTCGAGATAAGGGTAAGGTGACTGTGGATGATGTGCCGATTGTCTGGGAATACCCAGATTTGTTCCCCGAGGATTTTCATGGGGTGCCTCCTGAGAGGCAGGTGGAGTTTAGGATTGACCTGGTTCCTGGTGCGCCACCGATAGCCAAGTCACCATACTGGTTAGCTCCTCCAGAGATGCAGGATTTGTCTACATAGTTGTATGAGCTGTTGGACAAGGGTTTTATTCGACCGAGCAGTTCGTCATGGGGAGAACCAATATTTTTTGTGAAAAAGAAAGATGGGTCTCATTGGATGTGTATTAACTACCGGGAGTTGAATAAGCTAACAGTGAAGAACTGTTATCCAGTCTCGAGGATTGATGATTTATTTAACCAGCTTCAGGGTGCGTCTTGGTTTTCCAAGATTGATTTTCATTCAAAATATTATCACATGAGTTTCAGAGAGGAGGATGTGCAAAAGACGACATTTTAGACTCGTTACGGTCATTACGTGTTTGTGGTGATGCCCTTCGGGCTCACCAATGCTCCAGCCGTGTTCATAGACCTCATGAACCACGTATGCATGCCGATGCTGGATCGGCTTGTGATTGTATTCATTGATGATATCCTGGTCTATTCCACAACCCAGGAGCTGCATGAGGAGCACTTGAGAGAGGTTTTGGAGACTCTAAACAGGGATAGACTTTTCACAAAGTTCTCCAAGTGTGAGTTTTGGTTGCGCGATGTGCAGTCTCTAGGGCAACTTGTCAACCAGAACGATATTATGGTTGATTCGGCCAAGGTCGAGGATGTGATGAGGTGGGAGGTTTCGAAGTCTCCATCTGATCTTCATAGTTTCCTTAGGTTAGCAGGTTACTATCGTAGATTCATCCATGATTTCTCCAAGATGATGGTTCCTCTGACTCGGTTGAGAAGAAGACCGTCACTTTTCGTTGGGGGCCCGAACAGTAGTCATCTTTCGAGATCCCGAGGCAGAGATTGTGTGAGGCGTCGATTTTGACCCTTCTGGAAGGTGTCGAGGACTTCATGGTTTATTGTGATGCATCGATCACAGGTTTGGGTGCAGTTCTGATGCAGAGGGGTCACGTGATTACTGATGCTTCGAGGCAGCTGAAGCCTCATGAGGCAAATTATCCAATGCATGATATGGAGTTGGGGGTTGTGGTTATCGCCCTCAATATTTGGCGACATTACCTATATGGGGTCCATTGTACTATTTACACATATCACAAGAGCCTGAGGTATCTGATGGATCAACCGAATCTGAATATGAGGCAGTGTCGGTGGTTGGATGTGGTAAAGGATTATGATTGTGAGACACTTTTACCATCCGGGGAAGGCCAATGTGGTAGCCGATGCTCTCAGTCGCAAGGCAGTCACATCTCCGATCAGGGATATTTGTTTGAGGGTGATCGTGATTACTCTGCGTTCAGAGCGGATTCGTGAGGCTCAAGTCGAGGCTATGAAGGAAGAGCACCAAAAGAGTGAGCGCATAATGGGTTAGGTGGCTTCCTTTGATTATGATAACCAAGGGTTATTGACTCTTCATCGGAGGGTATGGGTTCCGTATTGGGGTGGTTGGTGTCAGGTTCTAATGGAGGAGGCGCACAGATCAAGGTTCTCCATCCATCCTAAGATGAAGAAGATCTATAGAGATCTTCATCCTGATTATTGGTGACCCTGCATGAAGCAGGATGTAGCTTGGTATGTGGAGAGGTGCTTGACTTGCAGGAAAGTCAAGGCCGAGCATCAGCATCCTCATGGAAAGATGCAACCGTTGGATATCCCTGTTTGGAAATGGGAGGAAATTACCATTGATTTCATTATGGAGTTGTCTCGGACAGAGCACAAAATGGATTTGATTTGGGTCATAGTGGATCGATTGACCAAGAGCGTGTATTTTATCCCAATTCAGGAGAGTATCTTTGTGGAGAAGTTGGTTGAGGTATACATAAGGGAAGTTGTAGCATGGTGTGGGGTGCCGATTTCAGTTGTTTCAGACAAGGACGTCCGACTCACTTCCAGATTTTGGAAGAGGTTCCACGACGAGTTGGGCAATCGTCTCCATTTTAGCACGACATTTAATCTACAGACTGACGGTCAGAGCAAGTAGACTATTCAGACCTTGGAGAATATGCTTCGGGCATGTGTTTTGGATTTTGGTGGGAGTTGGGATTCGTATCTTCCATTAGCGGAATTTTCGTATAACAATAGCTATCACGCCATCATTGATCGACCTCCTTTTGAGATTCTCTATGGGAGGAAATCCAGGACCCTGCTTTGTTAGGGTGAGGTCGGACAGGGAGTTATAAGGAGTACCGAGGTGGTACTCAATACTACTTAGTTGATTCAACAGATTCATAGTAGACCCCAAACAACTCAGAGTCGGCAAAAGAGCTATGGCGACAAACGCCGATCAGATCTAGAGTTCTAGGTAAGGGATATGGTTCTCCTAAAGGTGTCACCTTAGAAAGGTGTCACCCGATTCAGAAAGAGGGGCAAGTTGGGCTCCAGGTACATCGGTCCTTTCGGGGCTTTGGCCCAGGTGGGTTGGGTTGCTTATCGCTTAGACCTTCTCAAGGAGCTCATTCGAATCCATAGCATATTCCATATCTCTCGGTTATGGAAGTATTTAGTGGATGATTCTCACCTTCATGATCACTTGTATTAGATCTACTTTATAGTGTTTCTTGGGCATTTTTGAGTCTTTTGAAGTAAAGATAAGCTTTTGATATACACCAGAAGTAATAGATGCTAGATCTAAGCTCCATTCAGGCCCTATGTTCATAAAAATGCAAACTTTATGGATCTTTTTGGTTCATGAAAGTATTAAGACCTTTATTAAGCTCTTTTTTAGCTTTTGAATCCCATTAAGCCATGCATGGGTGTAAAGTTGCCAACTTTACGTCATAAGTCACCCTTTAGGACTAGATCTGAGAACTTAGCTTGAGGTCTCAATTGATTAAGTGCTTAATGGAGTAGGTTGGCAATTTGAGGAGTACACTGGGCATACCCAGCTGGTATGTTGCGCGTAGTGGCCCCGGATGATGGACACTACGTGTACGAGTTGAGTATGCCCCACATACTCAGTAGGTGGGCTTTTGGGCTTGGCAATCCTCGATATTGGGCCATAGTTTGGGTTTGTAAGTTTGGGCCTTATTAGGCCATCAAAATTTTGTTTTGGACTTTGGTCTAGTATGTTGGGCTTCTTTGGATTTAGGCCTGTGATGGGTTTTGGGCCTAATTTGGAAGATTTGGCCATAATTTGGGCTTTAGGTTGCCATTTAGGATTTGGGCCTTATGAGTGGTTGAGTTAGGCCTTGGCTTTAGGCCAAGTTAGATAAAGGGTAAAATGGTGTTTTACCCTGGTTATGGGCTAAGTAGTTCAGATTATGGGTTATCGGTCGAAATCCAATTAATAGTTGGATATTATTTGATATTTATAGTGTGGGGATTTTCTAGACCAGCAGATAGAGATACGTTCAAGTGATTCAACAGTTAGAGGTGAGTTTCCTTATTGTGTTTAGTGGGTCGAAGGAACCAATGTTGGCCCATGGTTTTTTATTTTAGGAAACTAGATGTTTACGTGACTCTTGCAAGTGTTATGTGCATGTATGCTTACCGGGCAGGGCCCGATGACTGACCGATCTGTATACCAAGTGGGGCTCGATGTCGGGCGGCGCACGATGACGGGCAGGGTCTATTATGTGTTTATTATGTATGGTATGTGGTATTTTGGGGAACTCACTAAGCTTTGTGCTTGCGGTT